CTCTCACTCTCTCTCTCTCACTCTTATTTTCTCCCACTCCCTCTCTCTCTCTTATTCTCTCTCCCTCTCCCTCTCTTTCTCCCTCTCTTCCTTCTCTCTCCTTCCTCTCTTATTCCGCCCATCGTTGGCAGCTTTTACCTTCCCTTTTCCCAAAAGCCACTTGCCTCGTTTTGTATCTCGTTTTAAAGGCATTTCCTTGCTTTATCTCTTCCCCCTCTTCAATACCCGATTTTAACGAGGGGGGGGGGGGGAGGAGACAGAAGATAAGGTGTAAGAGAGAAAAAAAAGGAAGAGGATGGAGACAAAAAGGGGAGAGGTTAGGCAAGGAAGAACGAGAGGGAAGAGGAGGAGGAGGAGGAGGAGGGGAATAGATGGAGAGTGGAAGGAGGGAGGAGGGGAGAGGGCGAGGCAGACAGAACGAAAAGGAAAAGGAGGAAGAGGAGAGGACAATGTAGAGAAAACAGAGGGGAGGAGGTGGGAAAGGAAGAAGTAGAGAGTGGGAGAAGGAAGGAGGAAGGGGAGAACGAGGAGGACGAAGCGATAGAGTAAGAGAGGGAAGGAGGGAGGCAAGAAGGGGAGAGGGGAAGCAAGAGAGAATAAAGGGGAGGAGAAAGCGGAGAAAAAGAGACAGAGAGGAGGAGAGGGAAGGAGGGAGGCAAGGAGAACGCGTTGGGGGCAAGATCATGCAATCTCTCTTTCTTTCTCTCTCTCACTCTCTCCCCCCCCCCCTCTCTCTCTCTCTCTTCCTCTCTCTCTCTCTCTCTTTCTCGCTCTCTTTCTCTTTCTCTCCCCCCCACCTCTCTCTCTCTCTCTCTCTCTTCCTCTCTCTCTCTCTCTTCTCTCTCTCTCTCTCTCTCTCTCTCTCTCTCTCTCTCTCTCCCTTCCCCCTCTCTTTCTCTCTTTCTCTCTCTCTCTCTTCCTCCCTCTCTCTCTCTCTTTCTCTCTTCCTCTCTCTCTCTCTCTCTCCCCTCTCTCCCCCCCCCCTCTCTCTCTCGCTCTCTTTCTCTTTCTCCCCCCCCACCTCTCTCTCTCTCTCTCTCTCTCTCTCTCTCTCTCTCTCTCTCTTCCTCACCCCCCCTTTCTCTCTCTCTATCTTTCCTAAATAAACTTCTCTCTATTTCAAGCTCTGTATCGAGTCTACACCAAAAGCCAAACCACATCCGCCTCCCTATAACAGCTACATCAGAGTCTCTCGAACATTCGAGGTATCCGGCCCCCTGTTTCCAGCCACACCTGACGGCGATTCAGCGAAAGGGCGGAAGGAAGTTGGATTGAGGAGTTGCATTCAGGGGCTATGGATTCATTCCCTGAACGCGGGTGCCGCTTTTTCTTTTTCTTTGCTACACTTGCGGGAGGAGGAGAAGGAAAGAGAATGAGAGAGAGAAGGTAAGTGAGACAGAGAAAGGGAGGAGGAAAGGGGAGAGAGAGGGTGAGAGAAGGAAGAGAGAGACAGAGGGTATGAGAGAAGGAAATCAGAGAGAGAGGAAGAGAGAAGGAAAACAAAGAGAGAGGAAGAGAGAATGAAATCAGAGAGAGAGGAAGAGAGAAGGGAAACAGAGAAAGAGGAAGAGAGAAGGAAAACAGAGAGTGGACGAGGGAAAGAAAAGATAGAGAAAAGAAAAGAAAGAAAGAAAGATAACAGAGAATAACGTGAAAAACACTAATCCGATAGCAGTTCTAGTAATATGGATCTCTACGAAAAAGATGTTCACCCGACGAGGAGAAAAAATAAAAAGCTGCACGCCCTAACGGAGATAGAAAGACCCTTATCAAATGATTCGTTTTTTCAGGATAATTCAAGCAAGGAATAGGCGAGGAGAGACAATAATGCAAGTGGAAGGAGGCGAAAGATATCAAAGGTTTACAACAGAGTGAGAAATATGAGAGATAGGAAAGCAAGAGAGAGAATTCAAGTAAAAAAGAGTAAGAAAAACGTGTGTGTGTGTGTGTGTGTGTGTGTGTATGTGTGTGTGTGTGTGTGTGTGTGTATGTGTGTGTTTGCTTGGTTGCGTGCGTGTGAATGACACAATAACTGTGACAAGAGAAAGAGAGATAAAGAGTAAACTGATGCAGACAAAGAGCCACGTAAAGAAAGACATCGAGGCAGAGGGAGATAAACATTTAGAAACGAAATAAACGGAAACTGCGCCTCACGTAGCACCCAGACAGAGGAAAACAAACGAGAAACGTCGGGCGCATTTGAGCCCAAATCCCAAAATACACTTGATCAGATTGAAGGCTCGCAGGCCATGAGAAGCAAGCGAGGTCAAAATAAAAAGATAAATAAATAAATGAATAATAAAAAAATAAGATAAAATAGAGACAGAGATTGGGAATGAGAGAGAGAGAGGAAGAGAGATTAGTAGAGTAAAATATATGGTGAGAAGGAAAGACAAAAGATACTTGATCAGATTAAAGGCCCGCAGGTCATGGCAAGCAACCGAGGTCAAAATTGATAAATTAATTAAAAATTAAAGAAATGAACAGAAATGCAAGAAACACAGATTGGGAGAGATAGAGAAAATAGTAAATTAAACTATATAGCGGGACCGAAAGAGAGATAAACAGACGGGTGAATCTATATAACATGCACGTTAATATATATAGATACATATAGACTTATAGCAAATATAATAATAACCAATATTATACACTCTCTAACGTACGTGTGTATATATGTATCTGTGTGTGTGTGGATTCCTGTATACACATTTAGATTGAGAGCTAGATATACAGAGACTGAGAGTAGTCCAGGAATTTTAAAAAGTAATAGATTTTTACAAAGCAATTGGTTGTGACAGCTTTATCTTATCTGAATTTATTTTCCGAACAACCTGTGACTTGATCCGGAATGATAAATATTTCATTCATAAGAGAAGAGTTAGGATTCCTTGAACGATTTCAAATGTTAATCTGAAATCAACACCAGAAATCCCGGACTATTCATTATATTTGGAATATTTAAGGCACATAATATTTGTTATTCTTTCTACACGTCAGATTAACCCAATCGGTACGTATGGCAAGAATACATGCCGTACCCACTGTAATGCAAGTTTATTTATTGCATTTATAATAATAATAATTATAATGATAATAGTAATAATAATAACAATAATAATAACAACAACAACAATAATAATAATAATAATAACAACATCAATAATAGCAATAATAATAACAACAATACTAATTCAATAGTAGTCCAAGTAATATGGTTTCCTGTGCAAAAGAGATTGTTCACCCTACAAGAAAAAATGTTCACCTATCTTATCAAATTATCTGTTCATTTATGATAATGGAAGGAATAGGCGAGGGGGAGATAATAATACGGTTGGAAGAAATGAAGAGAGAGAGAGAGAGAGAGAGAGGAAGGCGCACGCGTGTGCGCGCGCTTGTGTGTGTGTGTGTGTGTGTGTGTGTGTGTATGCGCGCGTTTGTGTATGGCACAGTAACTACGATAAGAGAAAGAGAGACAAAGAGAAAAGAAAATGACAGAGGTAGAAAGAGAGAGATAAAAAAAGTACGAGATAAAGCCCAGAAAGTGGAAACTGCGCCTCGCGTAGAACCCCAGGAAGAAAAACGGATGAGAAACGCCAGGCGCAGTGCATGCTCGGACCCGAATAAACCCGATCGGATGAAAGGCTCATGACACGAAAGCGAGGTAAGAAAGAAAAGGTAATTAGATAATAGTGAATGAATAAATAAATAGACGAATACATGAATAAATAGATGAATAAGATAAACAAATAAATGAAAAGTAAGAGAGGAAATATAGCGAGCAGGGAAGCAACACGAAAAGACGGATGAATCTATGTCCATGCATGTGAATATTTATAAAAAATATATAGACAGGTAAATTGATCGACCGATAGATAAGTTAATCATAAATAGATGTGTACATATTTAAGCAAATATATCATTAATTAATCTTAGAAATGTACACTCTATGTGCGCATGTGTTTATATGTAGCTGTGTGTATGTGTGTGTGGATGTTTATACATAAAGATAATTACAGATTGATACACACACACACACACACACACACACACACACAAACACACATACACACACACACACACATACACATATATACATACATATATATATATATATATATATATATATATATATATATATATATATATACAGAGGCTGATAATAGTTCACGAATTTAAAAAGAATATTTTTTTACAAAGCAACTGACTGACATTTTTACCTTAACATTCTTCCCTAATCGTAACGAAAGACGAGGCTCCAGTTCGGGAGACCTGGCGCTTTAGGGGAAATGGGGCTGCCCTTTCGTCATCACTCCCCCAGGTTCCTCTTGGCCCAAGGTGACAGTCCCTGCTAGGGTCCCAGATATGGGCAAATGTCAACCTATTTTGGGCAGCAGCTGCACTAGTATCTGCAGCAGGCGGAAGAGCTATAAATAAGGTCAACGGCTCCTACGGAAGAGCAGGGGGCAGTCTCAGCAAGCCTGATTCTGGCCCTTGCACTGCGCGAATGGAGAGGAGATCGGCGCCACCATTGGAAACTCGCCGGAGAATCACCCATGACAATGACAGCCAAACTCCTTTCCATACTGGATCGGTCGGGGCCCAGGATAAAAACGGCCGCGCCGTCACTTGCTGCTCACAGGGATGGCGGTGTTAAGTGGACTACTGATGGGCAAACTGAGAAAGAACAATAGCTGACAAAAAGCAGCATATACATTGGTACCTGGAATGTAAGTTCACTAAAAGATAAAGGAAAACTAGAAGTGTTGGTAGATGAGATCTCTAACTTGGAATGTTTTGGGAGTCTCAGAACTTAGATGGACTGGCGTTGGAGAAATGAACACTGAAGATGGGCACAAGTTGTGGTACAGAGGTGACGAGAAGAAACATCTAAGAGGCGTGGGAGTTCTGGTTGAAAAAGAAACAGCAAGGTCAATGAACGAATGTCACCCGTTTCTGACAGAATAATTGCAATCAAACCAAAAGGGAAGCCCCGCAAGATGACAGTCATTCAAATACATGCACCAACATCAAACAGTGATGACGAAGAGATTGAACAGTTCTACCAAGATCTAGAACAAACCATCAATGACAAAGCAAAGAAAGATATTCTTGTAATACAAGGGGATTGGAATGCTAAAATCGGCTCTAAGGAAAGCACCGGATGGGAAGGAACTACTGGAGATTTTGGAGTGGGAAAAACAAAAGACAGAGGTATAATGCTTTTAGAATTTGCCAAAACACATCACTTAGTTGTGGCTAATACTCTCCACAACCATAAACTATCGAGAAGAACAACGTGGCATTCACCAGATGGAGTGACACATAATCAAAGAGATTATATTCTCATGGACAGAAGATTCCAAACTGGAATCAACAGACCGAAAACGAGAACTTTCAAAAAATCGGATATCGGCAGTGATCATGATCCAGCTATGATGACATTTAGAATGCGACTCTCAAAGGAGAAGAAGGTTTCACACAGACGCGCAAAGTTTGACCTGGAAAAGCTGAAAAACAGCGAATTAGCAAAAAATACAAAAGTGAACTAGCAGGGAGATTTGCACCACTCTTGCTGTTCACAAATGAAGAACCACGGCAGCTTTGTGACAAGTTCACCGATATAACCTTCTACACAGCAAATGAGATTTTAGGAAGAGCCAAACCAATTAAAAATCCTACAAAAGTGTGAAGAAAGAAGAGAACTAAAGAAGAATAGATTTACCAACAATGAAAATCTGGACCAGTATAGAAAGGCAAAGGAGGAGGTGAAAAGAGCTATCATTAAAGCAAAAGATGAATGGGTTGAAAAGCAAGCTGAAGATGTTGAACAAAGCTTAGCAGTAAACAATTCTAGAAAAGCCTACAATGTACTAAAGAGCTTAACAAGGGAGAAGTCAGGAAGAACAAATAGAGGATAAAACTGGTCAGCTGTTAACAAGTAACACCGAAGTGACAGCTCGATGGAAAGAATACTGCCGCAAGTTGCACCAACATCAAGCAGACGTTGATAGAACACTATTAGCAGAGGCTACATCAGAGGGAGAAGTAGAAGCAGACATTTTTGGATCAGAAGTAGAAGCAGACATCTTAGGATCAGAAGTAGAAGCAGACATCTTAGAATCAGAAGTAGAAGCAGACATCTTAGAATCAGAAGTAGAAGCAGACATCTTAGAATCAGAAGTAGAAGCAGACATTTAGGATCAGAAGTAGAAGCAGACATCTTAGAATCAGAAGTAGAAGCAGACATCTTAGAATCAGAAGTAGAAGCAGACATCTTAGAATCAGAAGTAGAAGCAGACATCTTAGAATCAGAAGTAGAAGCAGACATCTTAGAATCAGAAGTAGAAGCAGACATTTTAGGATCAGAAGTAGAAGCAGACATCTTAGAATCAGAAGTAGAAGCAGACATCTTAGGATCAGAAGTAGAAGCAGACATCTTAGGATCAGAAGTAGAAGCAGACATCTTAGGAATCAGAAGTAGAAGCAGACATTTAGGATCAGAAGTAGAAGCAGACATCTTAGGATCAGAAGTAGAAGCAGACATCTTAGGATCAGAAGTAGAAGCAGACATCTTAGGATCAGAAGTAGAAGCAGACATCTTAGGATCAGAAGTAGAAGCAGACATCTTAGGATCAGAAGTAGAAGCAGACATTTTAGGATCAGAAGTAGAAGCAGACATCTTAGGATCAGAAGTAGAAGCAGACATCTTAGAATCAGAAGTAGAAGCAGACATCTTAGGATCAGAAGTAGAAGCAGACATCTTAGGATCAGAAGTAGAAGCAGACATTTTAGGATCAGAAGTAGAAGCAGACATTTTAGGATCAGAAGTAGAAGCAGACATCTTAGGATCAGAAGTAGAAGCAGACATTTTAGGATCAGAAGTAAAGCAGACATCTTAGGATCAGAAGTAAGGGCAGCGATAATAAAGTTGAAAAGGAATAAAGCACCTGGATTTGACAACCTTCCAGCAAAATTAATCAATTGCGGTGGAGAGCCATCTGTCAAAACCCTACATCTTCTGTGCAACCGAATACTCCAAACTGGTAAATGGCCTACACAATGGACTCAGTCCATCCTCATTCCCATCCCAAAGAAGAAAATGAGCAAAAACTGTAGTGAACACCGCACAATTAGCCTTATAAGTCACCCTAGCAAAGTCTTACTTACCATCATCCTAAATAGAATAAAACCGGGAATCGAAGAAATTCTAGATGAATCACAAGCTGGCTTCAGAAAAGACCGAAGCACAGTGGAACAGATTTTAAATCTAAGGCTTCTGAGTGAAAGCCAGAGAAACCACCAGAAGAATGTTTTCCTTAATCGACTTTAAAAAAGCATTCGATAGAGTATGGCACGAAGCGCTATGGCATTCAATGGCCAAGCATAACATCAACCAGGGTATGACAAGGCTTATCCAAGAATTGTACGGGAATGCAAAGATAACAGGTATGGTAGGTAACAACTACAGCGAATGGTTCGAAAGCACAGTCGGTGTTA